CCATGCCGGAAGGAGGAAACGAGGGTCGCGTCGGGACCCTGGTCGGCGCATTCCGGAGCCTGGCCTTCCTCTACGACGTCGTCACCTATCCCGTCTACTTCGCCCTGCAGCAACCTTGGAGGAAGGTCCAGGAGTCGAACAAAACCAAGGTCGTCACTTTTTTTACATTATTTATTTTACTTTCCTTGGAAAGGTAACGGATGCGTTGGAAGCAGGTTGTGAAACGCATTGCTCCCGTTCCCAAAACCAGTTCCGGGTGAATCAACGTAGTATTACGACTGGGAGAAACTTTTAGTTTCGGGTTACAAAAGGCCTTCAATCCGGAAAGGGAGTTCGATTTCAGCCTTGAAGGACAGTTTCTCCAACCTTCAGCGGTTTACCGTTAACGAAATCGAATGTAGCGAGCCGCCTTGACGCAGCTTACAGACCTGAAAAATCCCACGTCGATTTAAATTTCTCGAAATTAAAATTAGCATTTAAAAAAAAATTCTCTCCCCCCCCCCCCATCCATTCTCCCCCACAATGAAAAAATTTCCTCCCAACAGGCGAAGCAAATCCACAAGGCCGACTCTGAGGTGATGTTCCGCCGCCCGCCCGGCCCCATCGCGAACCCCATCGAGAGCTGCGACACCATGGAGCAGGCGTTCCGAAAGTCCGTCGAGAAGTACAAAGAGCGCCCCTTCCTGGGCACCAGGGAGATCCTGGAGGAGAAGGATGAGGTCGGTCCTGGCAACGTTTATATTTTATTTTGTTGCTTTTGATCGTCGATACAGTTTTGTGCAGATTTGATAGCATCTTTTTTAAGTTTAAGCAGCGCTAATGGACAGTATTTCATAATGGTGGCAATTAACTCTGCTTGTGTATATTTTTTAAATAAAATATTTATCGTTTATTAATATGAAAATGCAACTGCCGACTGCGCCGACGATCGATTAAAATCGTTTGGTACCAATTCCTCAGCATTTACCTGGCCTTGCGTCTCTTCCAGGTGCAATCCAACGGGCGCGTGTTCCAGAAGTTCGTGCTCGGCGAGTACAGCTGGCTGACGTTCGCGGACATGGACGCGAAGACGGAGGCGTTCGGCCGCGGCCTCCGGGAGATCGGGCAGGAGCCCAAGTGCAACATCGTCATCTTCGCGGAGACGCGGGCGGAGTGGCTCGTCGCGGCGTACGGGTGCATGAAGCACAATATCCCAGGTGTGACACATTTTCCAGTGATTTTTTTTTGTCTCGTCAGGAATCGGGTTGCAGGATTGTGACCTTGGCCGATTTATTACATCTGCAATGTAATGTGTGAATGTCAGAAGTAATACGTAATGGTGAGGTAACGGTGCACGTTAAATGTCTTAAATGTATTAGAAAAAAAATTTACGTGGAGGTGGATGGAAACTTGTCCATGAAAGTGCTTTGAAAATTCTTGCCCGAGTGGGAATTAGCTTTTTATGCGTTGATCAAGCATGGAAGAAATTCTGATTTATAGTGTTTCCTAATTAGTTAATTCTTCATTTGATATTTCACCCGTAAATTTGTTAAAATCCGTTAATTCTTCCGTTTCCAGTCGTGACGATCTACGCGACGCTGGGCGAGGACGCCATCGCGCACGGGATCAACCAGACGGAGGTGACCCACGTGATCACCTCGGCGGAGCTCCTGCCCAAGTTCAAGACGATCCTGCACCACACGCCGAAGGTGAAGCACCTCGTCTACATGGAGAGCCCGCTGAAGAAGCAGCCGGAGTTGGCCGGGTTCAAGGATGGCATCCAGTTGCATGCCTTCGAGGCCGTGCTCGAGGCGGGGGAGCGATCCACCATCCGTGAGTTTCCCGGTCGTCTTGTCGGTGGTTGCAACGAGGGGAAATTACGTTGCTAGGGATCCTTAGAGAGGATTGAAAGTCGGGGAAATGATCAGGCTTTAATTTGAAGGGCCTTGGATTACTTTGTTTGGTACGTGCGAACTAATGCTTGGCACTTGCTTCCTTTGGACCAACCCTGAAGGGATGTTGCTGTTGTAAATTGTATCAAGAAGGTAAATTGTAAATTGTATCAAGAAGGTAAATTGTATCAAGAAGAATCTTCAGCTTCTTCAGATGCACCCAGTTCACTTTGTCCACATTGGCTTCTTGCTTGCCAAATGCCATTCCAGCGGTCTTGTTCTTGGTTTACTGAACTGGCTTGAATGATGAGAAGTTAATATATGCATTGAAAGTTTGCATTGGGACAAATTCACGAGGTTTTCCTTGTCTCAATATTTGCAGTTCGTTACTGGAATCTGTTCGAGCCCACTTGAAATGACACTCAAACCTTTACAGAAAAGGGGGGGGGGGGGGGGGGG